CTGTATGATCATCGTCGGAGGACAAACATCAAGGATGAGTCGATGCCAGGCCAGAGGATTTCCAATAACAATTGATTCCGCCCACACAAAATTTCGTGATTCAGAGGTGTCCGCTTAGCAATTCTTAGTTACTTCAGTGTTTTATCACCACACAAGTTAAAGATCCGAAATTCGCACGTTTTCCAAGGGATATTTTCTTTCAAGTAGTCCTCAAATCTGAAGGGATGTGAAGCACACGGCGCATCCCAGAGTGGGCCCAGTTGGTTGCGCGCGCTTCAACTACGGCTCTCTGGAGAAAGAATCTCAATTCAGGAAAAATCAAGAGGATTCTGAAAGGGTTCATGTGAAATTACAGGGAGGAGTACACCATTCAACAAGAAACGTAGCCTTAAAGGCAGCGGTTACGCTAGGTTTGAATGGGGTTTAGAGGGGACGAGGGGGTCCTCAATGGTACGTCAGTGGCGAAAGAAGCAGCGAAATCCGTCAGGAAACGAGAAATGGGACCCCCTTTTGGGCCGTTGATTGCGGCTCTCAGATGGACTGCGGCGAAGACCGCGCACGCGTGGACGAGATTACGCAACGCGTGCTGGGCAGCAAACACAAACAGCAGGCATGGCGCCCTAACCGCGCTGCGGCTGGCAACGCGGCTCGCCCAAGCCACCGATGAATCATGGGGCGGGGCGGCGCATGGGGCGGAAGGGCGCAATGGTCCTGCTCAGCAACCACAGCACTGTTCGCAGTGCAAGCGCCACACATCGCTTCCTTGGCGGCCTGCTAGTTGCTCTGTGGGGAGCAGGTTCTCCGCAGATGTGAAAATTCCTTTTCGTACTACTTCCTTTAAGCGTCAAATTCACAAGCATGTAATCGTCAAAGTTGAGACACGCTAAACAATTTTACACTTTTGGAAAGAGAAAAGCACGAGGATTTCGAATCTGCTCCTACTTTAGTATGTAATCGCCCCTGAAAGGAGCTATAGTCGTTGAAATAGTGCCAATGCAGCGAAAAAGTACCTTTCGGCGGTACTCGGGCAAAAATCCTCAACGTGGCCATTTTTTAAATAGTGGACGTATTTAGCAGTTCTAGTAACCATTTGAAAGAGCAAATCTTCTAGTTTATGATGACGTATTAACTTTTCAGATTGGATGAGTTTGAACGGAGTTATGGCTTTGGAAAGCGTAAAAACTCGCACTCATCACGAATTTTCCTCGTTAATTTTGCAAAAATCCTCAACGTGGCCATTTTTTAAATACTGGACGTATGAAGCTGCTTTAGTAACCGTTTGATAGAGAAATCTTCTAGTTTTGTCTGACGTATTAACTTTTCAGATTGGATGAGTTTGAACGGAGTTATGGCTTTGGAAAGCGTAAAAACTCGCACTCATCACGAATTTTCCTCGTTAATTTTGCAAAAATCCTCAACGTGGCCATTTTTTGAATACTGGACGTATGAAGCTGCTTTAGTAACCGTTTGATAGAGAAATCTTCTAGTTTTGTCTGACGTATTAACTTTTCAGATTGGATGAGTTTGAACGGAGTTATGGCTTTGGAAAGCGTAAAAACTCGCACTCATCACGAATTTTCCTCGTTAATTTTGCAAAAATCCTCAACGTGGCCATTTTTTGAATACTGGACGTATGAAGCTGCTTTAGCAACCATTTGATAGAGCAAAATCTTC